GCCCCCGGCAGAAGGAAGTTCACGCCACATAAAGGACACTTCCTCCTCCTCAGCTCACAGCCGAGCACCCCAAACCACAGTGGCGTCACCCCTACCTATGACATCACAGTGCAAAGCGGTGGAAAAAGACCATGAGCCCCAGGAAGCCGAAAGCTCTGGGCTGAGGAGGCGGAACTCGGAGCCTGGACGCAGGGGCACGTGCCCGTTACGGGCGACAGAGGGCTTCTTCAAGGAAAACGCCCTCCCTGCCAGGGCTTCCCTGAACCTGCGGGTTCCCAGACAGCGGCCCCACCATGGATGCTGACCACAGATTTGTGAGAGGTGCTAACCAAGCACCCTGGGGCAGAGAGGCAGGGAAGAGACGCCCCAGCCCCACCCGAGGCCTCTGCACTGTGGCTTCACGAAAGCCAACAGGCACCCCGAATCGTGGATGTCACCAGGGCCCAAGTCAAAGAAATCATTTCAGCCAAAGCAAGCAACACTGCAGTGAACAAGAAGACAGGCCAGAGCAGAGACAACAGCGGGGAGTTCGGGGCTCTCCTTCCTTGAAACTTTTAACCCCACACCTGGGGCCTTTGTCAGACACACCCAAAGCTGACATTTTTGTGATCTTTGGGGTCAGCGCTGGAACCAGTGCTGGGATTAATAGAGAGGGGTGCTTAGGCCCAGAGAGGTTACGTCTGAAGGAGGTCACACAGCACGCCAGGTGGAAGCTCTCCTAACACTCAGGGCCCCTCCCTGACAGCAGAAGTTCAGAAGAGCTGTCACAGGGCTCCTTGGGGGTCCCAAGGAAACAGAACCTCCCACATCACAGATGAGAGCTGGAGGAGCTTTAGAGAACCCACCTGTGCCCATCTCTCAGGTGAGCAAGCTGAGGCCTCATGCATCCCCTCTGTCCTTTCTCAGTTGGGCCCTCCTCGCCTTCAGGTGATAAGCAGCTGTGAGGTGAGGGTTGTTTCTATCCATAGATGGGTATGCAGAGGCTCCTGGCAGGGAAAGGCTTGCCAAGGGCACACGGAAAAAGTCTTGGAGTTGAAGCTTGTCTGACTCTGAGGCCCAGGCCTGCCCAGGTCATCAGTACCATCCCCTGCACAGAAGAGTGTTGGGAGCTACCATATCTTCACTCAGTTCCTGGTCAGCCTGCAGCACCTCTCCCTTGCAATCCCTCACCTCCCTCCCTACCCTCTGCTGTGCCAGTCACTGCCCACTGTGGCCCAGATACTGCCAAGGTGGGGGACATGGGCATGCGAGCTCTCTAGGATGAGGACCCCTGGCCTAGAAGGACATTGTAAGAGAGGGGGACAACCAGGTGTGGTGGTGCATACCTGTAATCCCAGCACTCAGGAGGCTGAGGCAGGAGGATCGTTACGAGTTCAAGTCCAGCCTGATCTACAAAGTGAGCTCAAGGCCAGCCTGAACTGCATAGTGAGACCCTGTCTCAGAAAGACCAAGAAAAAAAGGAGGGCGGGGAACAAAGCAGAACCAGGCCTGCCAGCTGCCTTGTCAAACTCTCCCGTGTCATCTGTCATGCAGGGTCACAATAAAGGTCAGATGACTCATCCATGACAGTATCAAAAGGTTTTGAATCCCTATCCTAGGCCGGTGGTTCTCAGCCGGGGGCTCTTCCCCTCTCCTCCATTCAGGAGGGGGACATTTAGAACATCTGGAGACACTTTTGGCTGTGACAACCAAAGTGGAAACCACTGGCATCCAGTGTGTAGAAGCCAGGACACTGCCAAGCACCCTGCAACGCATGGAACGGCCCACAGCACTGAAGTACCTGCCCCGGATGCCAACTGTGCAGACTGGACCCCTACTCCAGGTCTGCTAGCTGTGTGCCAGTCCCTGCCCTCACTGTGGCTACGCGCTGGTGGGAAGACGCAGTCACAGCCAGGGAACTACGCCAGGCCGGGAGTGTTGGGTGGGAGACAAAGCAGGTCAGGGTAGTAAGTGCACCCGGCAGGGAGCTCTTAGAGGCCAGCGGGTCCATTCAAGCAGGAGGAAATGGGGAAGTGAGACCAGAGATGTCAGTGGCACAGCACTCAAGCCACAAGAAAAAAAGCAAGTGTACAAAGGCCCTGAGGCTGGTGCTGTGTACGTGGGTGTGCAATCTGTCTGCGGGACAGAAAAGCGGCCAGCACGGCGTAAGAGTGAGGGCTGAGGTGACGCGCAGAGTAGCACTGAATGTAACACACACAGTGCTAGTGTGAAGCCGGCCCTCTCCCCACACAGCCCCCTCTGAGAAGCACTGGATGGAAAGGGCCAGAAGGAGTCACCCGGTAGCCCCGGGAAGGAGCAGTGGTTCGGGGAAGATGGTCAGGGCGACTGTGACACAAGAATGCCAGACCAGCTCCCTCTCCACATCAACAGATGAGAACACAGAGGCTCCCTAGCTAGGGGCTAAAGGTCTGCAGTGCCCGTGACTTCCTGGCAGTGCAGCTCTGAGAGGACGGGAGCTGGTCCACAGAGCTGGTCCACAGAGCTGGTCCCCAAGCTGCAAGCAGGGGAAGGAGGGTGAGCGAACAGCACGGAATGTGGGTGCTGGCGCCACAGACCCCCACCTCAGCCAGCACACAGATGCCCCTGAGGATGCCAGGCAGGGGACAAAGGGTCACAGATAGGGGAGAAGAAGAGAAGAGGCCCCAGGGCCAGCAGGTAGCCCAGCTCACCTGAGGCACCCTGACGGCCAGCCATGGAGTCCCTAGGCTCTTCCCTAACCTGACAAGGAGGCGCACAGACTTGGGGGCTGCGGGGAGATGCGCAAGGCCCTAAGGGTAGACATCCCCTCTCACTGCTGCCACCCGAGGGCACCCAGCGCTCACCCATCCTGCCAGCTCCCTGACCAGTTTAGAAATGAATCAATGAATGACTAAATGAATGGATGGCGCATTCCGCACCAGCTGGCAAACACGGCTGTCAAAGGGACCGAGTGGGGAGAGCACGGTGAATCTGCACCCCCAGCCCGTGGCCAGCTCAGGCGTCCTTGGGGCGCTCTCTGCAACCCCAGCTGAGTTACGGCCAAGCTTGCTATGCGGGAGGGACCCATGGGACAGCAGTGGGGACGCAGGCCCAGGAGGGTCTGGCGGAGAGTTTCAGGAACCCAGCCAACCTGCACTGAAATGGTCAGGGGGACCTGCATGTCCCTGCAAGCGCTGCGATCTCAGGAAATGCCATGGCCTCTCCGACCTGTTTGCACATCACTCAACGGGAACTGCTCCACCCACCTTTTAGGAGCTACTGGAAGGGAGGTTTCAGTGTGATTCTGTGGCAAAATACCTAGCACAGCGCTGACACGTAAGTAGCCGAAAAGCAGGAGGAATCCGTGGTCCCCGCCCGCGAGGACCCCTCCCTGCACTGAGGTGACTAAAATACAACCAGATTAAAAAGCAGATCAAACCCAAGCGGGAGAACGGGGACAGGTTTCCCTGGAGTGGGTGGTATTTGCAAAAGGCCTGGGAGGACAGAGTTGAGGTGGACTGCGGAGAGGGGACAGCACGGGCAAAGGCTGGGCACACCTATACACAATGACCACCTGGTCATGAGTGTCACTGGGCATGGGGCATGTGTGGGCAGCGACAAAGCAGACATCCCCCTCTGGCCTGAGCCCCTGGGAGCCACGGAGGCATAAACAGGAGGAGCAGAAGTGCCAAGGCTTGAGAAGGGTTCTCTGCCAAGAAGGAACACAGGGCCAGGAGCCCAGCTGAGAGCCTCTGGCCATAGTCCCTAGAGGCAGGAATGTGAGAGATGGACTGGCCGCTGGTCAGGGCAGGAAGGAGGTGGCAGGGAACGCCTCCGCAACTCCAGGAGAGCCCCGGTTCCCGTCAGCCTCCCCTGCTGGGGACTCACGTACACCCAAGGCTCACCCAGGCTGGCCAAGCTCGGCCCAGGACCCCTCCCCGTCCCAGGCCTCCTCTCCCTCCCCATCCCAGGCCAGGGCCTGCGGCATGACCCACAGTCAGGCTGGCGATCACAGCCACCCACAGGCCTCCACCGGGACAGCCCTGTTCCCTCTCCCTGGCTCCACCGCTGGGGGGTCCATCTGACCCTGACAGCCCGCTCCTCACTCACTCCCTCCAGAACTGGATCGTTGAGTCACCTCATGTCACCACAGGAGCCAGAGTCACCTCCCACTTCCCCCTCCCAACAAGACGCCCAGAGGGGCTGGAAAGCCCTTCCCTGAAGCAGGGGAAGGACAGGCGATGCCCTCTGAAGAAAGGCCCCTCCACACCCTAACACAAAAACCCAGTTCTCTGGGCATCGGTTTGCCTTCTCTGTGAAATTTTCGCTCCCTGTCTAGCAGACCGTGGTGACCCACAAGCCCTTTCCGGATGCAACCGCGTGCCACAGTATTGGGATCTCCGCTCTCCCTGTTTTCCAGGGCTCCCCGGGACAGCGCGCCTGCCGCGCTTGATAACCAGCCCCGCGGCCTCCTTGCCCTCCAGACCCGGCGCCCACAGAACAGATTCGGAAATACATGGCGACACATGGGGAGGGTCCTGGGATGGAGCCAGCGGGCGCAAGGGATGCGGCTCACAGCCCGGCAGCGCCCTGTTTAGACGGCTGCACCTGGTCCTGTGCTCTCAACCGCAGCCGAGTACTTCTAAGAAAAAGGAAAAAGCCGGAGCCCGAGGGAGGAGGAAGTCATCGCAAGGCTTTGCCCTCGTGGGCAGTGGGCAGCGCCCCGTGCAGCCCACTCCGCGTGCGGGCCACAGAGCTGCCGCCGCGGTGGAGGCTGGGTCCCGGGCTCACGGGGCTCGGCTCCAAGCGCCCAGCCCGCGACCCCGAGGAACCCGAGCGCGTCCTGGACCGCGGGATGCGGGGACCCGGCTCCCCTCGGGCGCACGTGCGCCAGGCCCCGCGTCCCAGGCGCGCGCCCATAGGACAGGAGACGGCTGCCCGGACCCCCCCACCCCCAGCAGCCCCGGGTTCCCCAGTCGCGGTGCCCCGGGAATTCGCACCAGCCGGGACAGGAGCTCTCACCCAGCCGGCGAGTCACCCAC